CAGAATTCCCCAGCCAGCCATGCTGGCTGGGGTATTCTGGGAGTTGAAGTCCACTCATCTTAAAGAGGCCAAGTTTGGACAACACTGATCTAGATTAAAGTGGGCAACTTGCAACTTGCAGTTCAGATCATGGGGTAATACTGATAGTGATCAATTGAGACCTCTTCCTTCAAGTCTTCACAACTCCCCCCTCCCCCCAGGCATACAAATTATTTGTAAAGGAATGTGGCCTTTAACAGCAACAACAATAATAACAACAACAGGTTGTCTAGCATGGAACAGATGATGAATGGGCAGCTTAACAAACCTTTGGAAACAGTTTCTGGTTATCTGAGAGGGGTGGGGAAGCATGAAAAAAATAAAGTATCTGGAATAATATCACAGCTTTTAGAAAGTGCAAATGAAATATTGTTCATTTTTAAAACTGCACCTTCAAATGCTCCACTTGATGACAAAATGGTAAACATGTTTAATATTTATTTTTATTTTTTTTACAGTTAAAACTTTATTTAACAATAATACAAATATACAGAGAGATATAGTATATTCATTTCCCTCTATTTTAAAAGTACATCAGCAGTATTCTGTACTTATTATTTTAGTCTTATTATAATCCTTTTATTTTATTTAAAACAAGGGTTATTTTCCGAAGAGATATTATCTATAAATGGACAGATAATTACTGAAGTTATACAATTAATGCTCAGTATAACATTACAGTTAGTCCTTGGCTTACATCCATTCATTCAGTGACCATTTGAACTTCCAATGGCACTGAATGAGTGCTACTTCCAACTGGTTCTCAGAGTTCTGACCATCACAGCATCCCCCTAGTTACATGATTGCGAGCCAGGTGCTCGGCGCCTGGCTTATGATTGTGATGTCTCAGCGAGCCATGGTCATGGGATTGCAATTTCCAACATTCCCTGCCAGCTTCCCACAAGCAAAGTCAATGGGGAAGCTAGCAGGAAGTTGAAAATCATAATCACATGAGGTTAACAGCCCACACAGTCCTCACTTAACAACAGCAACGGGGCCTGCCAGAACTAATGTCACTGCAGGCACAGTCACATGATATTGAGCCCTATGATCACAATGTTTAGCAATGACAATTCTGGTCCCAATTGCTGTTGTTAATCTAGGACTACCTGTAGTGAAAGATACCACGCAGAGTATATTAATTTGTTTTCATGATATAAAAAAGAAGTATTGGGTTCTCTTCTTTTCCCTGGTTTTATTAGTGACTTGGATGAATAGAAGAACAGAATTGCTATAGTGTTTTGCAGATTGTCCACAGTTGTGTAGGACAGGTAATTCTGTAGAAGAAAAAATACAATTCAGAATAATTCTGAGAGGCTAGAGAAATGGGATGAAAATGACAAAATGAAATTTAACAGACACAGTTGTAAAGTTGCTAAGAGGATAAGGATTTCAACTCTTAGCAGAACCTAGTGCATTAGTATTTTGTGTATGTGGAATTTGGGTTTTAGCTTAAGTAATGGTTGACATCAGCTGTCCCTTAATTTGCTTTAATCTAATTAGTTATTTTAGCTATTTTATCAGTCAAAGCTGTATTAATTAGCAACTGCTCAGAAAAGTCAGCCACAAGTGTTCATGTAGGCAAGTGAAAGAACCACCAGTTAAACTCAGCATCGCATTAATAAACTGAAACCAAGAAAGGAAATGATCTTAGAGTTGCTAGGTAAAAGAAACCTGAGAAGTTTTGCATGATGTTCAAGTTCAGAACAAAGGCATTTATGAAGTATATAAATTTTAAATACACTGCATTTTGCCTCGAGACTTTTTTTTTCCAGATGAACTGAAATCTTGTCTGGAACTGTCTTTGTTACATCAAAGAACTGCATGGAAAGCTAAAAGAAACCAAAGAAGCATAAAAGGGCATAGTTTAAAATGATTAGTGACAATTTTTATACAGCAGAGAAAGATTTTTTTCTGTCTCCTTCCACCTCCCCCAATGAATAAATTCATCCCATTAATCTTGTCCTAAAATGTTTCAGTAGAAGTTGTTAAAAAAATATGAAAGCAACATATTCATCGATGCTCAGCTGCACAGACACTAGTGTTCAGATACTTCTAAAATAAACTCAAATAGCAATTAGCGTTTCAAAAATAGCAATTTGCCCTAACCTGTAAATAACAACATTTGAAACATAGGTGCTCTATAGAAAGCTGTTTTAGCTGTTGCTTTTCTGAGAGAAAGAGAAAAGAGGATATAAAGAAAAGAGTTGCTCTTCTACATATGTTTCGTGGTGCTCCCAAAACTCAACAGCAAAAGCAGCAACTTGAGACATTTGTCTTCAAAAGGTACCAGGCTGCTCATAGAATTGCTATTCCCAACCAGCTTTGGATTATGAATGGAAGACCAGTGGCCAATTGCAGGGAAAAAAACCTGCTGACACTTGGGATGCATGGGCAGAAGGCACATCCTCCTGTCCTCCTAAACCACAGCATAAGCATGTCATGGTGGGGTTTTATATGCCATGTCTGTGATATTGCCTTTGGGCCATCCCCAGCCCACAGCTGAGGCCACTTAAAATAATTTTTTTAAATGGTATTCCCCTCTTCTGCCAATACAGTTTTTGCTGTGGTTAAGATCTGACATGCCTTGTTGATAATGTGGATGCTGACATGATCAGATGAGATATATTCAACTCCTGTTGGCCACTTTCAGCTGTTCAGCAGTATGGGATTAGATTATCTGAAGCAAAGAAGCAGCATCTTTTTTCAAT